CTCTTTCTTGCACCTTTTTAACAAAGAGTTGGAACAAGCACAAGTTCATCTCGCATTGGCGTCTTTTGCACAGTTTAGCACTGAACACCCTTGCCTGAATTTCAAGGCATCCTAATGCAAAACCAAAAGCTCCAAATGTAATGTATTACACTTTTTTGCCAGAAATGGTTTAATCCTGTAGAGGACTTCAAATATGCGAGTTAACGTCTAGATGCAGTGAGAAGGGACAACGCGGTACAAATATTGTAATATCCCAGACAACAAATCCAGAGTGATCACAGCTGAATTTGTCCAAACCAAGAATGAGATCACTGGCTGTATTCTGACACAATCGTACTGCATTTCAACATCAAATCATATTAAAGAAACAAAACAAAACAAAACACAATATATTTTTTTAACAATACTTAACCTTTTCTTGACCAAGCAGAGCTTATCCATGTGAAATACACCATTCAAATCATCAAAAATATGGTATAAAGTTGTACACGTTTGATAAAGGAATGAATAAAAGCTTGAGGCACAAAAGGCTATTATACACAAAAATACAAACAATGTTTAAGAATGAAAGCAAAGAAGAAAGTTAAGAAAGAAAGAGGACTGCATTCTGTTGGCACTCTCAGGTGACCCTGAAGAAACATTTGTCCCAAGAGGCAACACACATGTCTACCGCACAATCTACCCCTGCTCTGAGAGGGAACCCCAGGCAGATGGTTCGATTCTTAAAACCCCTTTAATTTGTTTTCCCATCAGTGCAGTGACACCGCCATCTTGACTGGAGATGTGTGACTGCTGGGGGCACCGCAGCAACGGTCGCAGCACCACAAGTGCAACAGTGAAAATCCTGCTGGCATCAGACTTTCTGCAGGCATCACCAAAACAAAGTAACAACAACCGACAGCTTAACGTTCTGGGGACTCTCAGGCTACCAGCCATGGCGTGACTCCCTTGAGGGAACATTAAAAGAAAGCAACAATTACTGATTCAGTGCTGGAGGTTTGGTTGTTTCTTTTTTTGTTGTTAGTGTTGATTTTTCTTTTCTGCGATGCAACCACACAACATCGACATGTATGTACAATACATAAATATAGTTTCAGTACACTACTCATGCTTTTGCAGGGGTGAAGGGTGCAATGTCCTATTTTGGCACAGTCTATTTTTTTAGTCCTCGAGAAACTGGTGCTGCATGAATAGGGTGGTGAGCTTGTTTAGACGAAACAATACAAAACACCTAGCGTTTGTAGTTAGAGAGCCAGTCCAGATTCTCTCCTCCTCCATCTCCTCCTCCCACATCTCCTTTGAATCTGGCTGGACTGCAACACTCGGTCTGAGCCATGCAGAGACTTGGAGACAAGTTTTGCTGCCAGCCGGCCATCTGTGCTCCACCACGGCGTGGACGTGAGAATGCAGACACACAAAATCCCACCCCGCCCCCCGCCTCCCTCCACACAATGTGGCAAAGTGAGTAGAAGCAGCCGACGATGGTCATCTCAATTTGTAACATTTTACACAGACTTCTTTTAAGACTATTTTTTCCCATTAAAAAAAACTATAAATACCATAAAAGAAGCATTATTTACAAACTCCATGCGTTTCAGGTTAGAGTGATCACTGCAAGAAAAACACAGGAGAGAGAATGAAATGTAGTGTTGGTTTGGTTTGGTTTGGTGACAGTTGTACATGATTGATATGGATCACAGTCAAACACACGCCAGTTTAAACATCTTTTTACTGCTGAAAAATCTGAATTTTTAAGCCTTTCAATCTCAAATTTAAAGAATTGTGTAGACCAGTGTTTCCCAACCTACATTTGATTCTCGGCACATATTTCACATTAGAAAAATCTCATGGCACGTCACCAAACAAAATCTCACAAAAAGTATTTATATCATGAAATATCATGATCTTCTAGATTCAAACTACTCACAATGTACTTAACCTGGGCCTGTTTAGTTAAAAGCAATGCTGATATACTCCCAGGAATTGAAGAAAGACCAAAGAGCGTTATGATTAGTTTTTATAGCCTCTGCTGCGTTCTAGTGGAATAGTACTTAATTGTTCAGCCTGCCACTGTCTGACCAATTAGGTGAACTATGGCACAATGGTTGGGACTCACTGGTCTAGACATCTGAAAGGCAAACCATTCCGTCTTAGTTTATTGTTCCAAACTAAATTAAACTCAACAGTCAAGCATTTCAAAAGTACAATACAACTCTCAAGCAGTAATCCCGAAAAGATGCAGAACCCTATATTGACAGAACGCAATACACAAGGACTATTTTACCACATTTAATAAACTAAAGATGAGGATTATTAATAATGTTCATGCATTGTTTTTAAGTAAGTCAACGTCCATTGGTCTAACAAAAATAATTGTTTTTTTTTCTTTCAAGATGCAGTTGAGTAAAATCTTGTAATAAGAGTAAATTGGTTTTACCTTCTGCCAACATCCAGGCATAGGTAATCCATCTGGGCCCTGTGAGGGAGGAGGAGGAGCAGCAGAGGAGAGAAAAGAAACAGTGGTGAATTGTTGGATTTTAAAGTCATCCACCAGGATTATTTAACAATAAGACTGAAAATGATCAATGAAAAGAGCAAAACATAAAAGAATGGGTGATTGAATGAGGCTTTTAAAAATGTTTGTCTTGTCTGAGGCTCTTAATATTACATTTTGCATTTTAACGTTACATTTAAAGAAATAGATTTGATGTTTAACAATTATTGTTTACCTTTTGTAGTTGCAAAGTAACAACAGACCAATTGAAGAAAACATTGGTTGTTGTTGTTTTTAACAACATTAGTTAATCTAACAGTGTATGAAACACCATGTCAAAACATATTGTTTTTAAAAAGACAACGAAGACTCTGTATGTCTCACCCATCAAAGTAAAGAGTACAGAATGGTGGACTGGAGTGATCACATAACTGTTTTACTGGGAGATGTAGTTTTTATATCCACAGTAGTTACAGAATAACCTGTCGTGTTGTCGTTCAGATCAATAATGTAGACGACAGCACATGTTGCAAGACTTGTTTCCCAATTCATTGAAACAACACATCAGCGTACCAGTGTTTCTTAAATGGTGGGTCGCAGTTCAGATTGGACTGCAGTGTTGGGTTTATTATCATTCATTCCAATTCTGTTCAGTCAGACCAAGTAGTAAGCTTTAAGGACTCAGAAAGTTGTCTTTTATATTTATTAAAAAGGATGGGCAACAAAAAAGACCATTTAAGAACCACTGGTAAACAGTTTTTCATGCATGGCAGTGAATGGCAACTCTAATTTTGTTGTAATGGCCTCAAGGGTATCTTTCAGAAAATTAATATACTGTACATTTACCAAAAACCATAAAACATGGGGCCCTTACAACAAATGTAAAGTTCATCTAAAATCAAGTTGTGACAGTCTCATAATAATAAAACCTCTTTTTGCAAATATTCTTACCTCTGTTGGCTAACAGTATACAGTCAGCTTAGCTATGCTACAGTTGCTTTGTTCCTGTCACTGTTTGACCACAGCATTTTAACTCCCACGCACAGCACTGTGTCACGGAAATATTTTCATTTCGATTGTATCAGTCTAAACACATTTTTTAGAATGTTCCTTTTTAAAATAACTACAGTCTGGCCCAATTGGTACAAAAATAGAAAGAGAAAAAAGGTTAACAGAGTCAAGGTGGGGTCTATTTTCTTGTAGCATGGGAAATCCATCAGTAGCTTTAGTAGCTAGTGTTAGCTGTCAGGTTAAAAAGGTGGAGAGACAAGTAATGAAGGTTTGATCATTTAATTCCTGGTGAAAAGGATGAAGAAAAATACTTGAGTGAGATTAAGATTTGGTTAGAATTAGAATGATACAGTTTGAGGAACCGATATTTGTACATTAGAGGCTGCTGGTGGTCAGAGCGTTAGTGAGAGAGCTGTTTACTTTGATGTCATGTGGCTGTGACTAAAATGCATTCATGCTCGTGTTGTGGTCTGGAGTCATGCATGGATTCATTTCAGCAGTGATTGGAGGTGTAGGCATGCATGAGTACACGGTGAAGGAAAAAGATAAATACTGTACCAATTGGCATGGGGCATCCAGCCCGTCCAGACCGGGTTGCCCTGGTTCCCCCTTTTCACCCTTAAATCCCCGGAAACCCTGTTTGCAAAGATGACCTAGGAGTGTTACTGGGAGAGAGGTGGATGACCCTTAACCCCTGTATCTGTACACCACTTCAGATACAAGGATGAGGGGCTGAAGGAGGAGCTGCCCTGTTAGCTTGCAGATACCTCACATGGATGATGAGAAGTTGGTTTGGACTTTTTATTTTTATTTTTAGGAATGTGTAAGATTTTAGAGTAATTGGTGGACTCTAGTTAGTTTGCTCTGGAATAAGCAAGGTATCTGTTTAGCCACTGAGCGCTTTTCCTTGTTTGGGAGACGACTGCTCTACACAGCTAGAGACGTCTAGCTTACAGTTCGGACATACCAATGGGCAGGGTGCATCTAATCCAGGGGCACCCTGTTCTCCTTTCTCTCCCTTAGGCCCTTTTTTGCCCTTCTTTCCCTTCTCCCCCTGTGGATACAACGGGTTGGTCAAGTTAAACAACACATTTTGAATGTAACGGGAGAGTGTGCTATTAGAAGGGGAGCGATTAAAGTGAAGCCTCAGGTCCAAGGAAGGGAAAGACCGAAAGCTGATGTTAGATAGGAGGGGATACCAAACAGTACCAGGTGGTCTGAAACATTCCTCTAAACAGAGGAAGGGTAAATGGAGGGAGTATTACAGTAGGTAGGGATGGAAAACAGCTGTTTGCCAAGAGGGGTATCAAGGGCACAAAGGTTGAGAAAGAGTAGCAGGGAAGATGCCTCCAACAAGACAGTATTAGATCCACTACACACTGAAAAACCTCAAACTTTAACCCTTCAAGGCTACAGTAAATGTTAGCAAAGTGTTATCTTAACTGAAAACCAGATGAGGGGACTTTTAGTAACAAATGTCAGTTGCAAAACAACATTTACTTGCATAATGTAAGACAAAACATGTCCCTCTAAAACTTTTTTTTTTTTAACCTTGTAATTTGTGCAGCTCTGTCTGCACACATTTAAGCACTACCTGGTGTTTGTCCATAGTTATGCACAGTTCATCACATTTAGTTCATTTTTTAAAAAATGAATTAGAAATACATGGTATAAAACATTCTTCCAGGGAACGGGATTCGGTTTCTAAATGATCAAACATCACACGTTAAAACACTAGGGCTGTCAAACTATCACATTTTTAATGTGATCACTGGGTAAACTGGGATTAGGATTAATCCAGATTAATCACGATGAGTCACAATTAATCAAATCACAATCTTGATGAATACCGATGACATGTCATTTCTGAATATGATTATTTGTAAGTGTTTGTAACTCTTACAACTGTGTAAGAGTAACAACAAGTGGCTTGAATGTGGAATTATTGGCTCTACAGCACAATCACGGTCAATCAGTTCAAAATTTACATATAAATCTGAATAATTTCACAAATTATTCTATTGACACGTCAATTTTGACAGCCCTAGTTAAAACACACAGATGAGCCACCGACTGGTGTCAACCGCTGTGCACACAAGCGGAGGGTTATCAACGGGCTCCAAACCTCAGGGAGGTGAAGTGTGGGTTCATGGTCATGCATGGGAAGGACAAAATGAAAACAAATGTGAAAAGCCTGCTGTCAATGGACTTTTGATCTGTCACGTTGAAAGCACTTGTGGATGCTCGAAAATGAGGCGGGACTCATGATTCTGAAAAATGAGATGGCAAGTCATTCCGCGGTGGAAGACGAAGGCTGATCTGAGAGGGCAGGTGATGACATTTTATGCAAAGCAAGTTGCGCTGTATTACACGCCAATTGAACATAAAAAAGAGTTCGGGATTCAATGATGTGAGATTGTATGAGGTAACAATAGAACCAGCGTATCAATGCATTAAACACGTGACTGGCTATGGTTGTGACTTTAATAAAGGAAAAGTGCGAGTAGGTAATGAAAAAAAAGCACCACAGAAAAAGTGTACACTATTTATATCAGCCTTAACAAATTTACTAAGGTCTAAGGATTGTTCAAAAATATTTTATATTTATAATATTTTGTGACTTACCCTACAGCACGAGCCCGAAACTATCCACAAAAATGTATAACCTTGTTCAAAAAACTATTAATAAAGAAATTCACGTGTGTTCTCTTCATGTTGTTCTGTAATCGTTCCTCAATCTAAAACACCCATTGCTGTCCATTGACATCAGCTCGAATGTTAAAAGCTTCACTCAGGGTTACTACAGCACGTCTACATCTACCTTTTCTCCTCTTTCACCAACGTCGCCTTTTTCTCCCATTAAGCCTTGTGTCCCCTGAAAAGGTACAGGCTGAGCTCAATAACTCTGGAGGCATTTGTTTATAGTCTGACTAAGATGAATAAGAGTTAATAGATGACAGAATGAGGGTGGAAAGAAATAGAACTTAGCAAGGATAGATAGATCGATAGATGTGCAAAGAAAAAACATGTAGAAAACAACAATCTTTTCAGTATCAGATGCAGCAGCACCAAAAATAAGAACACAATCCTGTTTCTATAAAGGAGCAGTAAAGACAAAATTATCAAGTTGGTTGGTTCCTTGACTTACATCCAGGCCTGGTGTTCCCGGAGCACCCTATGAGTAAAAAAAAAAAAAAAAAAGTCCTTACACACATGTGTTTTTAACTGTCAAAAATGGGTTGATTATGAGGTTTGAATCTTGGTTTCACTGTCACATACTTCAAATAGCTGATTTTCTTTAGGATCAATTAAACAGTGTATTGATAATTACACTGAAATCTCTGTCAAAGTAGAAAACAATGTTTCTAGCTCAGGCCCCACCAAGTCTGTCACCTGGAACTTAATGGTTACAAAAAATGATCAGGGTAAATTATGAGGGCTCCTTAAATACTGCATGGAAGTATTCCTATGTTGGCAATTAATGGAGGGTTCTCATAAAATCAGCCAGCTGGGTATCACTGATATCAATAATAGATTAGACACATAGATATTGATCACGGTGCATAAACCAGTATCAGTAAGGGGCCTGATGCGTCGTTCAAATATTCTTATTCGAAAACATATCGTTCCAGCTGCTTATGCTGCATACACCATAACTGCTTTTCATTACAACCAGCTGCGCTCTAGTCGGTCAGTGTTGTGTTTTCTTTCGACAGTGCAGTGTCTCATTGCACTTATGGTTAGTTTATTTACCTGAGAAGGCCAACAATGTTGGGATTATTGAGGGAGTTTAACAACGAGTACAAAGACAGCAGCAAAACTTCCTGTGAGATTTTTTTTTTCTATTATAGTAGTAATTATATAGTAAGCATTTCATTAAAACATCTCAAAATTCACCTGTCACTGTCTCAGTTTTACCACCCGGTGGATACATGAGGGGAGTTACACCTCACATGCCACCTTTTTTTTATTGGGCCTCATCTAACCAACATTGTTTTTTGAATCACAAACACAAAAACATCATGTTTACCAACCTCAACATGTATTACAATTAAAAATACTCATTCTCAAATCTCAGTTTGTAATAAATAATGTCAAGACAACCCTTTAGCCAACAAGCCCCACTCAGCAGACAACTGAGAGCATTCTTCCATTTCGTTTACTTACAGGAAGTCCATAGGGTCCTCTTGGTCCTGGCTCACCTTGGGCACCCTTCTCACCCTAATTTAAAAAATAAGACAAACAACACATCAACCATCATCACTTCTTTACCAGACATGCCTGTGATTAAGAATCAACGTCCATCTTACTAGGTCACCCTTTGGCCCAGCAGGACCAGCTGGACCTGGAGGACCATCGGTGCCCTGAGACAGAGAGACATGTTATGGTGAACTAACGTCCTTCCACTCAACTCCAGGTTTTCCAATAAGGTATGTTAACATTTCTAAAACGATTTCCAAATGAAAAGAATATGTGTGGCATTTTCAAAGTGGTTTCTGACCCATGGCCAGCACACAGATACATGGCTTCTAGACATGCATTGGCCACACACAACATTTACAACAGTGCTGACAGTTAATGTATGAGTATGTTAATGCAGCATGGGACAAATGAGAGTCTGGTAATGCTTGTTAACCACTGTATCTGGTCAAGTGGTTGACTTAGCTGAATGTGGCTGCTGAGTGTTCAATGTACAGGACTTCACTAAAACTTAACTGAAAACAAATGTCATGGTAAAAATCTGAGGAGAAATAAAAGAATAAATGAAGGATTTGAGGGAAAGAAGTAAGAGTCGGGTGGTGAAGCCTCTTGGTCATGTGACACTCACCCTAATCCCAGGCTTGCCGTCCAAGCCGGAGGCTCCCTGCGTGGTTATGGACGTATGAGTGACATGAACAAGGTGTAGGGATTAGTACCAGATGAACACTGTTATTGCGACAACTTGATGGCAGGGTTTATAACAACTGCATTACACTGTGTTACAGGTAGCTCTGCAAAAATCATCAGCCCAGGCGAATGGACATGAAGACAGAAAATGGAGACGGCAGTACAAATACACACAGACAAACACTCGCACAAATGTACGTACAAATACATGACTACAAAATCTGAGCGAGCTAAACTAGGACACGATGTGTGAGTGGAAATCTCTGAAAAAGAACGTCTGTTGACGAACTTACGGGGAGACCCAACGGTCCACGATCGCCTTTGTGCCCTTGTTCCCCTCGCATACCCTTCACCCCATGTAGTCCAGGTTCTCCCTGAAAGCAGCAGAAAAAGTAGCAGTGCTCCTGGTATTCACACCGGTACAGCCCTCTAACACTATGTTGCCAACTTTCCTCTAACTTATCCAAACCAGCTTCTCTAATGTTGTTCTGTTACATGGTACAATGGCAAAAACACAGAGATAAAATAAGAAATTAAACAACACACTTAAATACATACACACAGCCTGTTAACTAACATTCACCTATTACCACCTTTTCATCATGGTTTCCTGTCAGCCATGTTGATTTGTGTTTGTCATTAGCTATTACATTACACAAAATAAGTGCCTATTATGTAAATAAATCTTTTAAAAGTAAACATTGGTAAAATAAAACGTGTTTTATCAAATTTGTTTAAACTACCATTATTAATTGTGATGAAAATAAATCAAATGAGTTATGATTCTCACCTTTGGTCCAGGAAAACCGTGGGGTCCCTATAAATGTGGAACAAATCACAGAGTTAGCGCAAGTGTTAATTTGTTTATTCAACTCTCTTATGTTTATGTGATCATTTTTAGAAAGGTAGTGCACTGTAAAGAATGGTATGGAAATCAGGCAAGTGCAGACGTGTACAAATATCTACAGTACAGCAGGAAATTACAAAGCTTTGTGAAAAAAATAACTTTTTTAAACTAAACACTGGCGCTCCTTTTTCTTTCTTTTTTTAAAATTTGACATAATCGGATGATATTACTAAGAACATAGAAAATCTCACCATAGGTCCTGATTGCCCATGAGGACCTGGTGGCCCTGGAGGACCTATGATCTGGAATATTTACAGTATATGAACACATTATTCAGCAAATGTATTTGTTTTTACTACTGAAGCAAATAAATCACACTTACGGAGGGACCCTGAGGACCAGGAAGACCTAGATCTCCTTTTTCTCCTTTCATTCCATTGACGCGCTGAGGAGACAAATGGCCTGAAGTGAGAACGTCTCAACTTTTTGAGAAACATGAAATGCAAATATTTCAAGACTTACAGGTAGACCCGGTAAACCAGTAGTGCCCTTTTCCCCAGAAGCCCCAGGCATCCCCATGTCTCCTTTTGAACCTTTGTAACCCTAAACATTTGAGCAAAAACACAATTTCAGAGAACTTTTCCTCACAATTATTGCGCCGATTACTACAATATTACAGTGATAAACCTGACTTTCTTAAATGTATAGATATCACATTAAAGACAAGATTATGTTTACTGTACAATAACCACGTAACCATTAGATACAAATGCTTCCCATCTGTTCAAAACTGGCAAAGATTTGTGCATATTTTATGGAAAAACTAAAGTTGTGTTGAATTCTGTAATCATGACAGAGTGAATATGGATGTTATACTAGGACACAGTCCAACGTCAGACCCAGACATTTTGTATTTTGGGCCTTGATGATGGAGCAAATCCTGCTGCACACAGACTGAGAATCTGCCAGAAGATCTTTAAAAGGCAGACTGATCATAAATCACTGGATGTTTCACATTGGCTCTGGAAATTGCAGATTTTAATTCCACATACTAGGATTACCATCAGGACAAATATCTCACTTGCATCCAGACAGGGGTTCAAAGGTCAAAGTCAAGGCACTGAAACACTGTTGTCTAACGAATGTTTTCATGCATAATTCAATTCCAGTGTTTTATGGAGGCACTTCATCTTTGCTCTGCAGATTAGTAGTCCTTGAATCAAAGGTCCGTGTATTTTATTTGGTCAAGCCATAACCAGTAACACTGACATAACAAACATACCTTCATCATTATTCAAAAACAAAAATACATTTCAAAATGAAATGAAATGCCATTTTCATTTTAACAAATAAAAAAAAACACTGGAAAAAATCCAAAAACAAAGCCATTTAAGACTTTATTTACCATTTGCCTGCACACAGGCAGCATAGGGGCCAAATGTGGCCCATTTTAGAGGCAGTGTATCAAATAACACATTTTAAAAATGGTTAAGTTTATTTATTTGTTTCTCTGGAAAGTTTCCTTCAGAATCTAAGACATTAGGAAGGAGGAAGACATAAGGACGGTACCTCATGATTTAAAAAATGTTCAGTGCATCTTTTTTCCTTTAATTAGGATTTTGTTGGCTACTTTATACAGTAGTAAACAAGGTATATTGGTTAGTATCCATTACCTCAAGTAACCAAACAAATGTAGCTCCAGTATCTTTTATTTAATGTCAAAACCACCTTTAAAAATCTTTATGCCATCATGGTGTCTTTTTTACAACTTTTATTTCTGTGCCGTGGTTCCTCTCATTTACTTTTATGAAAATTAGTAGTTTTTTAATTTCCATGTATGGCATCACAAATAATTACCCTGACCTTTGAGTGAAAAATGAATGACGGTCTATAGTAAATAAAGTTTCTAAAGAAACACAGGAGCTCAACTCACTCTCTCTCCATCGAGTCCAGGAAGACCAGGCATGCCACGATCCCCCTGCAATCAATGACGTTTATTGCATTTGAAAACAATATAAAAATGAAAACTGACAAAAATAGCATCAGCATTTTACCTTTACACCCTGTGGCCCCACTGGCCCTGCAGGCCCAGGAGGACCCTAGAAAATGTACATGTGAAAATTGGTTAAGGTCTGGAACACAGTGGGTCATGACCTTATTTTAAATGCAACAGGAAGCTTCTGTAATTAAGCACCCAAGTTGATATGATGCTTCTTTCAGTCACCATATGAACTACATGCCTGCATGTTTGTGCATTAGAGGCTGCTAACAAATAACAGCACATACATTTGGAACACTGCAAAACACCAAAAATTAGCTTTTAGAAACCAGTTAACAGGAAGCTTCACTGAAAGACATGCTGCAATCATAAACACGAGGACTGTAAAGTGTTGTTGTTGACATTTCATAAAGTGGGTTTTTAATATAACTTTGACTTATTTAGCAAATATGCAACAATTGATGTTAATATAAATGTAACATCTGGTATTTTTACTTTGGATATTTGTTGTGTACGACCACCAATGCAGCCACGCCTAAACATGTCTGCTGCAATTTGGAACATGCAAAAAAGCAAGAAAAACATTAGCCATTGAGCAAAGATTATCAAGAGCTTAGTCCCATTTACGCATAATCTGGCCAAACCTGTCTGCTCGTTCAACAACACTACATGTAGTGAGGAAATTATTTTTATTTCCCCACCAATCCCATGAAATGTGACAACAATCAAGACTATTTTAAGGACCAAGTCACTCTGAATGCAAATGTCTTTTTTCAGTTTGGTTCAGATGTATGAGTGCCATTGAGTTTTTGAAAATAAACATTAATGAAGCAGAAACCAGTCACACCACTAAACAGACTTCGAGGCATCGTCAGGCAGCACACAAAAACAGGCAGGCAAATGAGTGCTGAATGAGTGCTGAAAACAGGTGCATGCAAAGACAACATGAATCGCTTGTAGGGGAGTGGCACACACACAGAACACACAGAGCCTAATTACCGTGACTGTAATAGTGGTAATCTTCTGCAGTGGGCCAAAAGAAGTGGAATTAAAGAGAGAAGAGATAAGGTCACACAGAAGAGAAACTGTCGTGTCAGCTCATTGACACAATACAGCTCAAGACAAGTGGGGTCAGTGAAATGATTCGAAGCCTTTGGACCAAAAAATGTTGAAGCAGCAAAGAGACACTGAAGGTGTTTGGCNNNGTGCCCGGATTGTGTGGGGCGTTTGGATCCTTGGCCATAATCCCTTGGCTTTCCTGTTGGTAGCCATGTTTTTAAAGAGACAGTGTACGTGCCCCCTAGAATCAATCCATTATGTCTTTTCATTTCTTATGTCTGTGAAGATTCTCAGTCATACAGGTCATGGTCAAGGTTGAAAAGTTCTGTTTTCTCGAAGAAGACGTTTCGCCTCTCATCCAAGAGGCTTCTTCAGTTCTAACTGGTGGTGGGGAGCGCAGTACTCCCCACCACTGAAGCTGAAGTTGCCTGTGTAGAGCTTTGTAACCCGTTAATCCACTTCTCTACCTGCATGTGCCCCAAGGTCACAAATGGGGCAAATAAGGCAACAGCAGATTGTCACCCCAGTATGTAGTGGAGGTGCAGCGTAGGGTTGCACCTACAGGGTACGATTGCAGACTTAGGGGGTTGTGTGCCAACCCTGGGTACATGGTTAAACTAGTACACAACCAGCACTTTGAGTGGTAGTACCCAATGGTGGGCCTACTACTATAAATATATCAGTTCTTCATACAAGCATTATTCACCCAATCTCAATAAGCCTTTCATTGTGATAATATACAAGTCTATCAATCCTAACTATTTTCAAACAAATGTGTAAAACAACAAAGGAAAGAAAGACATAGTTTAATACTTTAAATACTAGATTTGTATGCATTAGAAACAACTGCAGCCACTAATATGTAGATGATCTGACCTGTAGAGCCTCCTGAATGTTTCCATTGTAATCAATGATTTCAGTAACTCCTTGGTCTCCTTTCTGCCCAGGAGGTCCCTGGTTGATATAAATAATATATTAAAAAAAACAAGAAAAAAAAATGTTTTACCACTTTACAAACACTTGAAACATATAGCACAAATACATTATTTTAAATACAGGATACAGTTTAGGGAAAAAACAGGGGAAATTAAACATGGACATGTAATGCTTACCTTCGGGCCACTGTGTCCCAAATCACCTTTATCTCCTGTCTCGCCCTGAAGTAAGGAGGGAAAATAACAGTAATTAAGGTGCTGTGCATAAACAGAAAATGAAAAAAATGTAGATCAATTTGTAACTAACTAAAGTGATATTAAATAAGACAAGACAAATCGCGGGTTTAATGGTTGATGTTGAAAATGTAATTATTGACTGAATTAACTACTAATTGTGAAATAAATATTCAATTAAACATTTTAGAATTAATGTAAACAAAGCTGCTTTTAAAAACAAAATGTTTCAGGTTACAATGACAATAGTAACTTAACAACTGAAACAAAGTGCAAAAATTAAACAAAGCAGAGATGGAAGATCTCGCCCCCTTGTGGGTCAGCGACGTAATGCTGTGTTAGATTTGAGACTTGAGAACACGCACAGCAACCCCATCAGGACACAGTCAGCAGCAACAAAGGAACAGAAGGACTGGACTTTAAAAATATTGATGGAGATCATGAACCACCTCTGTGGCATTCTGGGAAATAGACAACGGACATGAGAGTGCCACACTAAGTTTAATTATTGAGTCTTCATAATATGGTGCTTTGTGCGGTTAGATTTTAAATTCTGATTACTCCATTACATATGTTAGTACCTGCTGAGCACAGAGTCTTTCTGGCAAATAAAAACAATAATAAACAAACAATTCCATTTCAGCTCAAGGAAATGAATACCAAAGCTCATAATATCTAAAGGAAATTCAAGATCACCCTCAAGTGAAAATCCCATGACCCCCGGGATTCCCCTACCGGGGATCACTAATGTAGACCACAGTCTGCACCACATCTGCAAGACTCACCTTTGACCCTTTGAGACCAGGGGTTCCAGCCTCTCCCTGTGAACCCTGACACAAAGAGGAAGCAGCATTATTACACATTTGAAAGAACATAATAAAATCAAAGGCTACACATCATGACTTTTTGTATTAAAATTACACATAGAAATTGAAAGCCTTATTTATGTGTGTGTGTGTGTATATATATATTTAAAGTTAATGATCAATCTGACAAGTGCTTTTCATGTGCCATTACAGACAAGCAATGAGGCAAAGTTTATTTACACCCTGGCAGTGAAAAGGTTTACATTCTCTATGACCTTTGGGTCAGTGAAGTTCAGACTAATGTTCAGCTTTACCTTCTGGGTCACTGCCAGACACAAACAATGGAAAAGTCATTACACTGAGTTTATTTTATACAGACCCACTGGGGATGTTTTTCTTTTTTGGGGATTAACAAAATTAAATCTTGATGAAGTCTAACAAGGCCGCGCTGTGCAATCAAGGAATGGTTTCTATTGCACTTAGACCAGTCACACTGTAGATGGCAGCAAAACCCAGTCCCAAAGAGCACATTTAAGGACTGACCTTTGGTCCAACAGGTCCAATTTCCCCCCTTTCACCCTTTCCTGGTGGGCCATGGTCACCCCTTTCACCCTAAAACAGACAAAGCAGACACCAGATAACAGCCTGATTCTGACAAATGATCCCCTTGCATATGGTTTCTATAATAATGGCAGAATTTGTGTATATATTGTGAAAATGAAGCCTGCAATGTCAGGCAGCACTGCCATAACTACACAAAAATTACAAACACATTATTTTTTACTGCTGCAAAATCTGACAGAAAACCACAAAATCTACTGTGTTCTGTGCTCGGGTGTTGGTGAAGTGACTGTAAATAACCTATAGATGGGGATGTTGTATAAATCCAGGACGGGTTAATTTGCTACGTTAGTTTTGATGTTTTCAATTTCACATTTGGTGTTTGTAAACACACGTGATCCTTTCGTAACATTTCATGCAGAGGTTTCTATGACATGATTTATTATACTACAGAAATGTGACAGTGTAATTTGTTTAAAGCTTTTTTTGAACGTGTAATTAATTGAGCTTTTTGGCCAAGACAACATAAATTAAAAAAAAATGAATGAAAAAATTAAATCTACATTACAACCGATTCCTAAATTGTGATAGAACACTGTGATGCTGAGTTTAACTGAAGCTGCAACATGGCTGCCCACTGAGGATGGTAAAAAAAAATATGGTGGAATCTCCTCTCAGAAACCTCTTCTGACTTCTTGCAAAAGAAAGTCACAGCCTGACCTTTGCAACCAAATTCAAATATGTGATTAATAAGCATCAGAATCACTAAAAGAAAACAAAAAATATTCCTTGTTTCACCTTGAATAATCAAGATGTTTTTGTCATGTTAAACAAAACAAAGATGTTGGTTTTCTTAGATCACGTGATGCATTGTCACCCACCTTGGTACCGGGGAGGCCTGGAAGTCCTGGTTCTCCCTGGGGGCCTAGAAACCCAGGCTCACCCTAAAGCAGGAGAGGCAGATAATATTGAAAAGAAAAGAAGATTCAAACATGTTTTGGTGTAGCACTACCTCCACCTGCTGTTGAATGATGGTAAAACACAAAATGCACACTTAGCAGCATGCACTTGCACATGCAAACGAACCCGTGCTACGAGGCACGTGCACAGAACACTAAAATCATCAGTGGTTTCTCACAGCCAGCATCACAACGTGGATGTACAAATTGGAATGAGGAGTGTGGGCTACAGGGTTTACACACCCAAAGGCTCTCCATGAAAGCTATACATAAATGGCCCATAAATGGAGCCTTAACCATGTGACCTTTGTAGCCTTAAGTATGGCCTACATGGAGATGGTGGCTAGGTAGTTCCTGCCTCTTGTATATTTATTGCTTATTTTTACCTAATAAGCTTTAATAGATGCAAAAAATCCATGTGTACACACACGCACATTAAAGTGTGTTTTGATTTGCATTTGAGTTCATTTTCATTTTAAGTATATCACTTACAGAGCACTTCCTCACAAAACACAGGCAGGCACTCTGAGAGCCTTTGTATTGATAATGAACACTGACTGTACAACTGCCGTTGGGTAAACAGTGAAGAGTGTGCAGCAAAACAAAAATGCCAGCCGAGCTCCAGAGCTGTGCGTGCCTTATTAGCAAAATTATTGTTAGGATCCATCAAGCTCTCAGACTTTTAAGTTAAAACAGCAGAATGTATAATGTAATAGAAAATGATGTGGCTTGTTTCCCCAATCAAGGCAGTGCGTTAGAGCATCCAATAAAGTAAATCAACATCAAAACAGCATCAGACATCCACCCATAGTGCTTGTTTGAGCATTCCTCCGAGCTCATAATCCTACAGTACAGAGGGCGATTGCTATTCTTCAGGCATAAGGTGGGGATGAAATATGATGTGCCGTTTGTGTGGTTGATCGGTAATGATGCAGTTAAAAGGAAACAAGCTGCTTAGGAAAAACAATAAAATGCTGTTTTGTGGGAAAGCTTTTGAAATTATGAGAATAAAAAAAAACTTCCTCCCCTTAACAAGCAGCAGTTTTGACATATTTGGCACTTAACTCTGTTGATATCGCTACTTAAACTGTGAGCTTGAGTAAATGAAAGTGATTCAAAGTGATTTATACAGATGAAGCGGTCTGCTCATTAATTCACAGACCTATGGGCTTTTAGGAAACCTTAATGAATCCATTTTTCGCCGACTTCTGGCAGGTTCACATCAAAAGCATGGACTGCTCGGCCTCGGCAGTGAGCTTGGGCTAAGCTCCTCACTTCAAACTGTGCTGGATGTGCAGGTATTAGTGGACCTCTACCACTGCAGCAGATGTAACCTTGCTGTCGTGGTACAAATCCCACACAGCAGGGAATACAAGATTATGAGACCTTGGATGTGTCATACATGAGACATGACCAAAGGCCAGCAGGGTTTTACTGTGAACTCTGCTGTGGAGAAGCCGTAGCGGATGGAGAGGGACAAGACTGAGAAAATGATCTGAGGTAAAAACAGTGAAGCATTTACCTTTATCCCCGGGAGTCCAGGCAGCCCTGGAAGTCCTGGCTCTCCCTACATAGGAAGAGTGTGACATGTTACAGCCAAGCCAAGCTAAGCTGAGTCAAACCTTAATGTGGGCTTCTTAGGCTTCTATTAGTTTTGACACCTCATTTCCGAAGCTTTCTCCTGGCTACATGCTGCTATAATCCTGAAGAAGTGGTCTGCTGTCCACTTGCTTGTGTTGACTGTTTGTGGTGAGCATGAGCAGAAGGTACTGAACATGCACTCGGGTACCCACTCATGCAGCCATGGTTTGACAGTAGGGTTAGTGCTCGTTAGCCCTTCACAAAGTGCAGAGAAGTTTGTTTTTTATTAGTCCGGGCATGTGTGAAAATGGCGGATTCTCGGAAGGAGAGACAGTAAAATACTGTGAGAATAAAAACTGCACAAGATGCCATCGGCTTCAAGGTCATTAGAGTCTGGCAGTGTGCGAGGTTCAGAATTGGCCCTGCTCCTTCGCAACCAAGGTCGGGTCATTGTCGAGTCGTTTAACAACTCCAGACTCTCATTCCACACGAGTTTGAGTAATGCGCAGTCATTTAATCCATAATATCGAGTGTGTGAGACTTTATAACACCTTCAAAACAAAATCTCTGACTCTGGATAATTTAACGCTCAATTTGGACGACTGTTATTTATAGCACAAGAAAAAGACTGATTAGCACAGCGTGAGAATCATCAGCTGAACTCCGGGGCAGCAGAGGCGGGGCTGTAAATGTCCATTGTTGTTTATGAAAGCGTTGCTAAACTAACAAATTAAAGTCTCCCCCATAAACAACATATTCTGCCAAAAGGTGACACTTAATAAAAGCATTCCAATATCACTAGATGGCTATTATGATTAAAAATGTAATTTAGAAGTTGGGCAGAATGTCTGCAGAATGAGAGATAAGATAAAGCAGTAAATATTAGTTTAGCCACAAATGTTTTCTTTGCAAAACAGCATAACAGCTCAAAGCCCGCTCATCTGTCCGGAACCATTTTATCCAAACAAAGGAAAGAGAAGAAAAAGTAATGGGGTGCAGCACTGGGGATTAAAAAGGTAATTAAATGGGGCACTAAACAGTCCTGGAAGCAGTGTAGTGGTAGATAAAAAATACTTTATATTACTGTGCAGGAAAATACTTTCTCCCTGGTGCATGCTTGTTTTCTAAGTACCACATCAGCAGCAGTTTTCTTTATCATAATCATAATCAAATGTCATAATCGTATCGACAAACGCCGCTCAAACGGCAAAAATCTGAGAAGTTTGACTAATGTAGTCAATAGTAGGAGGGTACGTAATGACCCGGTCTAGTGCTGAAATACAGGTCAGACATAACAGCAAAAACATTCAGAAATATCAGTTAAATACCTGGGACCAAACACTGGCCCAGAACAAGTGTAATGCCAAAGTAAATGTAAGAAGAGCCAACGTGCTGTGCTGCGGTGTGTCAGCTCACTGAGACCCCACATGCACACTCCACTGATTGCATTTTAAACAGCACGGTTTCTTCTGGGTTGGACAGCCCTCGTCAGAACCTTAGCAGTTTCATTTTCTTGCGCAACAGATTAGGGTGTCATCTGTAATAAAAGGCCCAAACGCTTCCAGGGAAATCTCTGATCGGCAAATGTTCCTTTCATATTTTCACCGCTGGCCCTGGCCCGACGGCGAGCATTAAATGATCCTCACTAATGTGGTTCCCTAATGTTCTGCAGCTCACTCTTGTAGAGAGAACGGTTTGTGGACAGTGTGCAGTTATTACCTTATGTCCACTTCGTCCAGGCTCTCCAGGTTCACCCTGCAACACAAGCAAAGGTTTTTCTTTTAAGCTGTTTTTCTTCACGGAAAATAAAACATCAGCTGTTTGTCAATGACTCATGTTTCCTATTTTGCTTCCTAATCCCTCTTAGTTGGTTAAATGCTATTCCATGAACATGTTTATGACATGGTGTTGAACTTCAAATAAATAAACAACAGACTCTTTGAGACTTCATTGGACTTCATTCCTTTTCTGACCCAGCGGTGAAGTTAAGTCATTTTGGTGTTCTTCTCTCAGTTATATCTCAACTACAAGCACAAGACGCTGTACAACAGCTGGTAACATCTGACACCCTAACAGTGTTTGTATAAAGGCTGCTGTAAAAGAACAAGGAAACAGGAAAAGTGTGAGTTGTTGATGTAAATATGCCATCTGCTGGTTTCATTCGTGTCCTATGTTAATTGTGTCCTTGCATTGGTAACTTAGTAACTGCTAACGTAATGTGGCCCACAGTGTTTGTAGGACCCACTGTACTCTACTGTATTTGGACATGCAGCAAGGGAAATACAATGTATATGATAGTACTGTTACTTGTTGACTAATCATAACATATCAAAAAGCAGTAATTAAAAATAAGGACAGGAACTTCTGTGTCTTGACTAAAATACAAACAGAATCCCTGCAGTGATTGGGTACACTGTTAACAATAACACTGTTTTTGTACTGCTCTGTTAGCTCTAGAAATCCAAATGTTTGTACTGCTCTGTTAGCTCTAGAAATGTAGCTCTCTGTGATTGACTACTTGAACCAAATAATTACTACAAATTTAAATGAAGACATTACTTAAAATGTACTTAAAATTTAGCTTTGGATGCATCCTGACAGTGGTTTGAAGATTGCTTCGAAAGTTGCTTTCAAAACTTCGGTGAAGGTATAGTCCTAGAGAATATTAACGATCTACAATCCATTCCAATCCATGTAGTAATTGTGTCAGACAGTCTGTTAGCTGAAGACTTACTTTATGCCCTGACTGGAAGTTGAAACTTCCACGAATGCATACCAGACGAGATGTTATTATAAACTTGAAGTGCTTTCCCGCGGTGTGTAAAGGTGTATTGACTGTGTACTACAGCAGTAATACCTGGATGGTGACAGTGTAAGTGTTGCTAATTTTGACAGCCCTTCTTCTTTAAAACACATATCAGTAAAACAGAGGAATTTTAATGAAGAAATTGGCCTTTTAGCACTAAGCTAAGCTTTTTGCATTTTTGGCAAGAGCACATCTAGAACATCAAGTCCTCAGGACTGGTACTATAAAACATGTGACTACAGTAGGTGGCTAAGAAAACAAGCACATGTTTCACCACACATAAGGCACACACCCATGGCCAATGTAAGCTCCACTTATTTATTTTCTTGGAAATATTTCTTCATAAAACTTATTTCATAATACTGTACATTTTAACATACATCAAAATTTTATTATTGACCTACGGTATACAGACTTGTCCTTGACATGACCTTCTCAAACGTTTAATACTGTGTGTTTTAATGATACATTAAAACTGTGTATACTATTTCCCAAACCTATGATGAGAAACCATCACACTGGGGGCCATGTACCAGTGTTTGGAAGCAGGTCCAACAATAACTGAGGTCATATTATGTGAAAAGAGATATATGGAACTTTAAACTTAAAGCTAACAAAAATACCAAGGCTTGGCAGCATAAAAATGAGCCCCGAGAGCCACGGATACCACAAACACCTAGGAGTGATCAAAAACAGACTCTGACAAGAGTTTGGTGATAGCTTAGCACTCACCTTAATGCCAGCTGCGGAGGAGCCTGCGTCTCCCTGAGGCACAGATAAAACAGTGAGAAATGGGTGAGACACGGAATGACAAACAGCCAAAAGTAGAAACAAAGTTTGAAAGTTTGAAATGGGAGCGCGATAACGTCAGTGCTAAAATATGTATGTTGAGTTATATATACAGTACTCCTATAAAATATATAAATACACATCATCACAAATGCTGGTCAGCAGTGTCGCTATTTTCCCAGTGCTTTGTATTTCACATGAGTGCGGCTGCCTAGTGATGTGACGACATAGGGGCTGAAACACAACACTGTATAGAAGTAAAATCATAACAGCAAATGAAGTGAGGCTCTTGATAGATATACAGCACGAGCAGCAGCCATTTAAACACTTCAGGTAGGGCGTGGAACCAAAGGCAGAGAGAGACGCGTTTAAATCACATTTTTCTCCAACAGCCACCCCCAAAGTCGAGGACCGTGGCCTTTCTTTTGCACTGCATCATGACTGAGTGCAGCGTACAGTAAAAACAGACATTAAATAAGGGGCCAATGAGCGTAATTATGGGCGGTTGGTGGGAAAAAGTGCTGTGGAGATGGAGATGGGGTCTGTAGCCCTGGTGTTCGCTGTGGTTTCACTCCACATACGCCTCACGCTCAGAAGTAGCTGAAGGAATGTCTCTCGCCCTCAGCTTTTTATGGCAGTCATTATGATGCGTAGCACACACGGCATGTTTAATTGCCGCATTTTTTTTTCACACAATAAACTGCATTGGTGTTTACTGCTGGGCTTTGTTGCTCACTCAAGGACATCTCCATCCCTATCTTTAAACAGATTCCAGTTATTGAAGGTACATAGCTTAGAGTTGGACTGACGTAGCTCAGATTAGCTACGTTGGTACACAAACAATACAAACGGCTAAAATTTAAAATGAGTTGGAGTTTATAGTTGTGGAATAAGTTTTTGTGAAAGTAGAAAATGAAGTATTCCAAGAATGACAGCTGTCTAAACAAACTAGCCAACGCTTTTGAAGCTGAGGCTTTACATGTAAATGTAGAAGAAATGTCTAAACCCAGTGTGAAAACCAACAAAGGAGGAGCAATTGGCAAAAAGCAAGAAACGTTGTGAAAGTTTATTTAAATCCTCCTGGCATGGACAAGCCAACGCAGCAGTTCTCCTGATGTTTATGTGGCAGACTGTACTTAGATGTAAATATTTTTTAATTACCTCCTGGACATAGATCATTTTTGGTTTGCTGCAAAAACAACACAACAGCTCTCAGCGACTCGTAGTAAAAAAAAGTTTTTACTGCTTAATTGGTAAGCAACATGACTATCTTGTGGTTTATAATGTAAATCCAACCTGATTAAAAAATGAACTGTGCGTAAATGTGCTCTACAGTGACTGTAAGTCTTTATATAATTATATAATTCTTCCTTATGATAATGCCTCTGAATCCAAGCTTTTTTTCGTTGATTTTGCTGCAGATACATATCGGTTCTGCTGTTGTGTTTCACACCAGATCACTACATGGGAGAAATTCAGAAGATGAGGAGCAGAAAAAGAACTAAAATGTCTGAAAGGTGGATTCGATATATATATTCTATATATATATATACACTGTATAATATACCTGATACTTTTATTACTGTTGCTATGTTAATTTTTTTTACTATTTATTACTCTTCTATTTCATATTGTCAATAAACAAACAACTTTTTGTTAAATTAAATCTCTGCAGTTATGCCTGTATTACCATAAATAAATATATTTGTAAGTGATATAAACTCAGTTGAATGATGATGATGAGGAGAAAATCTCTTTTTTCTTTGGCAAATAATAACAACTTGTAATCCCAGATCTGACCGTGAGCCATGTGAAAACAAGTCACAAAGAATTCTTCGCAGGCAATTATCACTTTCCCTCTCTGCCGGCTGAGCTGCTAAACACCACACACGCTCTCTGTAACAACAACACAAACAGGAGTGACACCACTTTCACAAACCCAGGCAGAGTTTTACTGGTTCAATTTTCAAGTAAAGAAAAGCAGTATGGAAAAAGTTTTAAATGTGGGGGGTGAGTTAAGGTGTGGCCCACAGTGCTGTTAGTACCAGCTGGGCCAATTACCATGTTGTGATTTGACCACAAAGCAGAGCAGAGTGGAGCAGGAAGGAGAGCTGTTACAGCAACCCAAACCATAGCATGAAAATCTGTTAAAGTTTGGTGAACTAATCTCCCAAATGTGAGTGGAAAAGATGGAGTTGAATTAAAAAACGAGGCCAGAGTAGCGTTTTGAGAAATGTCAGATATAAATGCCATGAATATCACCACCGACGACCACAGTTGGGAACAAAGAGTTCAGCTCCTTTTTTAGGCAAATCCAGCACTGACAATATCTGATTCCTGATGAGGTACTGTATGTTTAACAGCATTAGCAGAGGAACTTCGTGATTGCTGAGTTCACCGATATGAAGCATTACATTTGTTTTATCATGTTTATCATGTTATTTAAGACAATGTAATCACTAAAACCCCACTGAGAACAGGGAATACAATTACAAATGAGTCAAAATATTAAAAATTAAACCAATATGACCTGATGTGCCTGGTCTGCAATGCCTCCATGCCCCCTACTTTGGGAACCACAGGACCATGTTTTTAGTTATATTAGTGGCAGAAATACAGCCCTGATGCATTATGAAGCCTCCCTCTCTGCTCTTGACATTTGACAAAGATCTGAACCAAATATGTGTGTCCTTCTATGGCTTACTATCTTACAAACTTCTTAAGATTGGAATCGAGATTCTATATGGTTGATCAGTTTTTTTTCTCCTTATGAACATAATGCCTGTTAACTGAGATTGGCTTCAGCTCCCACATGACCCTGCACTGGATTAGGTGGTGGAAAATGGACAGATGGATAAATATGCTGCATAAAAATGAATTCCTCCATCTAAATAAACATACTCCAGGATCTTTGAGGGTAAAAAATGAATGTATATGGGGCCAAACAAATGAGGACCACGTGTTGCGACACATCTGACCATGGGCTGAAACCTGGCCAGTTAACGTAAGCTTGGATCAGACCTTGGCACTGAACTTTATACCATCATCATGCCACATGGACTGAAGCCAAACTCACACAGCCTGGAACTTCTCAAAACCTTTCCCATAGTTTACTCCAGTTTATTGTATTTTTTTTTATTTTTTATGAAGACATTAAAGATGTTTTTCCTTTGAACCTATCAATGAGAGGAGTCAGAGTTAATTTCACACCTAGTTAAATACTCAGGGTGAGAGATATAGTTTAGACCTCAATCTTAGAGCTACGTTAATGTTTTATTTTAAACGGGGGCAGAGACAGAAACGCAGCAGCTGTAAGACTTATTGCTGTTCAGCTGACGGTGGCTTATGGAATTGACCAATCAATCATAGCAGGTTGTCTGTTTCATTGGTGCACTTGAACACAACGAGTGATAAAAAAAGAGATAAACTTCCTGGAGTCTGATGTTAAATCAAAAGAGACTGAGCAGATCAATAACCGATGATGACTTCTTCTACTGATTACTGTGAAACACAGCAGCATCCAGTCCATCAACGATGACAGGACTTTATCATGTAAATCACTCATCACTTCATAACCTCTGCTAAATGGAACGCTTCCTTTGGGAGTTAAATAAAACCCCTCAAATGCATAAAAAAACGTCTGTGTGATTTGCTTTACTAACTGTAATCCACAGCCTTTACTCCAGGACACGGGCCACAAACTCACAGCCCGTGACTTGAGGTCAACCATTTTTTAAATTTGCCATCGAGGTACCTTGTTAATGTGCTTCAGTTCTAGTCCTAGCTGTTTGCAGTGTAGTAATATCAAATATTAACAGTGAGTTTGAGATCCCTGCCTCATAATGACGGGGAGGATTCTCTTATGCTTATGCGGCCATTTTCCTTAACCTTCCTCCTCCTTCACCACACTAGAGCAGCCCCAGCCTCACCTCTGGCTCTGCGTTACCCCTCCTCCCCCTTCTCCCCCACAGTACGTGCAGCTTATTATTAACTTTGGCATCGTTAGCTGTCCAGACGGAGGATGACCCTGTCACCCCACCCTCCTCTCCAAAGTCCACCCCCGCTCCTCCCCGCTGCGTCAATGTACAGCAGTAATATCAGGGAAGAGCAGTTAAATGAGACAGAGTCTCCCACTTGATGACAGGAGGCTCACACTGTGGGATGACAGATGCAGATTTCTGCGTGTCCATCATCACACATTTTCTCCACTTGCACTGAAAAATAAATCAGTCCTCATGGCGTCTCACACATATGTTAAAGTCATCTGGATATACAGCATGTCGTCTTGAATGAAAAGCAACTCTCCCTGCCATATGTTGCTCACTATGAAAAAACAAAAAACACTGACATTTACAGCATACACACATTTTGGACAATCCAACCAAATAGAGTATTTTCAGATTTTCGCAGTAGATTATGAATGTATTTATTGCGAAATAGGTCCATATGCTCCTAAATAATAAATATCAGGTGGAACAAGTACTCAATTCAGGACCAACTCTAGTTCAAAACCTTTTCTTTTTACAGCATGAAGGTAGACTAGATCAAAGCTAAGCTCAAGGTGCAAAGTTCTATCTGCCTTTTTTTTTGTTCACTCATTCTCCACAGATGAAGTCCTGCATCTGTTTCCCTAAAACTGTGTCTTTCTTGGCAGAGGTGTGTGGCAGACTTTTAACTAAAGGCTACCGGAGTAGCCATAAAGAGAGAAGTTATCAAAGTTGTTCTTTGCTGAGGAGCCATAAATTGACAGTGACGTTTTGAGTACACAGCTTGTAGTCAGTTGATGGTCCATTATGTTATATTTGTTTGACAAAATAGCATCTGCAGTGTTTTGAAAACTTCAACTCTAGTGTGTTGTAGTATCAGTCTCCCGTCGCAGTGAATCTAGCACAGCTGTGACAATTGTTTTTAGAGAGAAAACTCCTTCAAACTTTGTGCACCATTAATAAGATCAGTTCTTTTTTCTTTTTTTGTGTGAAGTACGGAGCATAGAAAATATGTGAGAACATAACATAAAACTAAACAAAAAAAAAAAAAAAAAAAAAAAAGAATTTGGAAGGCCCTAAGAATTCTTTGGTAGAGCTGTGAGCGATCTTTCCAGCAGAGATTCACTCAGCCTTATGTTGGGAACAGATCCCAACTTGATGAGCTGTCTTCATGATAAATGCTCCGAATTAATGCAGGAGGCATTCAAGCAGCAGAAAGTAGGGTCAGTGCAGCACAGCAATTAAGTCTACATTAAGCCCTGAGGACGCCTCAGGTGCTCGGAGAATCAGTGTTCTGCAACCTTGACTACAGTGGATGCCACTTGACCTCTGCTGCTTCTACAGGTTTTTCCACAGATCTCCTCTTAGCTGGTTGACGTCAACCTTTTTTTATGAGTTCCAAACTCTGCCAGACTTCCTCTGTTCTCTCAGCAGGCTCTAAAGCATCAGCAAAGAAAATGAAAGTAGAAATGACTCACCTTCTCTCCCATATCACCTTTCGGCCCCTCTTCGCCCAAGTCACCCTGTGGCGAAGAAAGCACAACAGCAACGAGTCAGTGCTACACAGCTGAGACAGATGGGGACAAGTGCCAGACTGCCACATAACACACTGTAGGATTTTGATGAATCCTCTCTGTATGTGATTGACTACGCTGTAAAAAAACACTTAATGGATGTTTGGAGTGAAATCTGAAAGCAGCGCAGCTGAGATGAAGTGCCATTACTGAACACGTTGAATTTACTTTGGTCACTAACTGAGTCATCACACATGGTTTGAATATGGCCGACTTCAGGTGATGTAATATACTCGGTGGGGCATGATGGAGGCCATAAACTCCTGGCATCACCGCTGAAAAATATACCTCCTAAATTCACATGTTTTCCATCTAAGTCTTTGAAAGCAGATTGAATGTCATTGCAGTATTTTGCAGCAGGAGAGGATGGCAATGGTTTTCCTTCAGTCTGGTGTTGACTCAAATGTCTTATTAAATAGAATTCACATCCAGTAGCTAGGTTATTATTTATCTACCTGTGGTGTATACGTGGTTTAGAACTGTGTTAAAGATAACGCCAAAATATGTGTTTCCACATATTATATGTGTTTATGACCAAATGCTCACA